TGTGTGTGTGTGTGTGTGTGTGTGTGTGTGTGTGTGTGTGTGTGTGAAAGAGAGAGAAAACAGCACCTTTATATCGATGAGTTATTTTAATGGAATGGCCGATATCCAATATTTAACTTTAACGCAAATATCGTCTGATACCGATACCATGTCGATAATATCGTGCATCCCTACTTAAACAAATTAAAATAAAGTGCCCACTGACAGACATGCAGACTTTATCTTTGTATTTGTATTCTTTACTGCCAATACTAGGCAATATTTTATGAGAAAATTCAAGATTTCTCCGATATGAAATCACACCATTTTAAGTCCAACATCGAAGGATGTTATGACAAGCAGCCAAAGACTCCGATTTCAGTTTATCCTTTGGTAACACTAACAAGAGTGGTGTGTTCCTCCAAAGAATATTGTAGAATGAAAAACAGATGAGGCCAGAAATCAAGCCAGGTAGAAAAGAGGCAGCAAATACATGAGAGATGAGAAAAGACTATTACAAAAGGTTTTGCCAGGTCATAAAGTGCGGGCAGCACATTTGAGCTGGCATTGCCACACACATCCACATTAATGGCCACAAATGCCACACAGCCTTTTATGAGAAGGTGACGACACACTGACATACAGCCCAGGAAAACGCGCTGAAGAGGGAGAGAGGAAAAGAAAAATCATACGAAATCCACAAAAGTAAAAGAGAAAGAAACAAAAAGAAACAGAAAGACTCTTCTATGGACTGAAGTCGAAGTGGGAAAAATTACAGCATGCTTTGGCTTCATTTCCGAGATGACATTCAATGGTCCAATTCCATGAAGTCGGCCAAAATCCCAACATATCTGTGTCAGCTAAGGGCACATACTTTCTTGCATCACCTGTCATCATCTGAGTGGGAGGTGGCACAAAAAAATGGGGAAATGTATGTCTGGTTTAGTTCTACAAGCTCAGGAGTCCCTCTGCAGGGACTCTCCTGAGCTTTGACCAGAACTAACACAGAAATAAACATTTAAATTCAAAGCCACAATAGACAAACAACAGAAACTTATGGTAAGTTATTCTGATACCACAAAGAATTAGAAGTAACCTCTTGCCTTTGATTTAAAAAACTGAATAAAATTTGATTTAAATAAAGGTCACAATCAAATATCAAACAAACTGGCCTAATTTTTATCTTCATTCTAGCTCTAGGCCACGTGTCAAACTTAAGGCCCGTGGGCCAAATCTGGCCCTTGTGAACATCATATCTGGCCCCCCAAGATGATATTTTGAAAGTCAAATATTTTTATTACTTCTCTTTTGGCTTAAAAAAATAATAAACACTTCATTTAGTGCAGACATCGCCTTACCATTTACTAACAAAGTCAGAAAAAGGGTTACATTTTTCAGTAATACTTC